GGGGGGGGGGGGGGGGGGGGGGGAGGGTGGGGGGGTGTTTAAAACCTAAGTCTGTTACATTTGCACAGTGTAACACTCGAAAAATGACCGACACGAGTCTGACTCCATTAGACAACCCATAAGCGAAATCTTTATTTATTATTTTTACACTATTTTAGGGTGGTCCATAGAGGGGGTCCGTAGAGGTAGTCCATGGACTGGTCCATAGGGAAGTCTGCGGACCCGGTCCGTTGTGGGGGTCCGCGGACTGGGGGTCAGTGTTTTCAGGTTACCCCCTGTTGTTTGCCGCGGAGGTTACATTTAGCATTTGGATTTATTATTGGGTGGCTGGAAAACTTTAGCAGTGAATAGCAAACACAGAATGGTTACAAATTTGTCATGAATAGTGGGAAGTTAAAAGTTGCAGTGAGCCCGAGTGATAGTAGCTCTACAATTAGTAATAGTAATTGGACCGAGTGGAGTACAGTTCAGGGAGTAACCACGCAAGTAATCTCAAAATCTGACAAGCACAAAGAGCAAGACCAATTTGAAACTATGAGCTAAATACTCCTTGACTTGTATGACGCAAGGTCCAATAACTAACTTATCATTGAAATTATAAAACAACAACAACCATTTTATTCTGCATAATACAGAGAATATCATACAGCAGAAAAAGTCTTTTGAGATTTTCGTTTGAGTGGAAAAGTCAGTAGTGCTTTCCATAAGTTTTAAAACTGAAACTAAGAAACATTGAGAAGGAAGCCATTAAAGCATGCGCACTATATGTGCAAATGGCGTAGGTATCCAAGTACAAAAAAGTCTGTCTTCTTCTTGTTCGTCAAACACATTCCTGGCCTCTGCGAATCATTATTCGATACTGTACCTGTAATTGGTTAGCCTGATATTAGTCCACTAGTTAGCCTAAAAGGGCACTGAATCAATTGTGGCTAAGCTCTCAGTAGTTGTAAGACTTGAGACATGTATAAAGCCTATTAATTTAGTAAGAATGTATGGAACAGAAAACAGTTAATTGGAGGTAGAGTTGGTGTACTATAGTATATAGAAAGTTTGGACTTAAGTGAAGTTGTGTCCAAAAAACAGAAATTTGCGGCATGAAATACACAAATTATACGTGACATGATCTTTTCCTCTCCAACAAGTGACCCTCACTGTTTAGTTCACCAACACCGTTCTGTCAATAAATCTTGAAAATTTCACTCTAATACCTCCTTTGCTCCTCTATGTAGTTTATCATGTAGAACAGGAGCGTAGGGTATCTGCAGTTCTCCTCCACTTATCTTAATCCTGGGCTTTGAGATCCATTTGTTCAATTGCAACCCAGCCTGTATACTGCAGTTCTTGTTTGGATGACCTCCTGAAAAGGAAGAAGCCCTTGAAAAATGGGAAGGAGTGGGTTGGAGGAGTGGGAGGGGGTGAGCCAAGAGGTGCTTAAATAGACTTTTACATGTAACAGTAAGCATAATAAAGAGAAGGTAAAGTTGGAACTGGATTCGAGGATGCTACATGTACAGTGTATGTTTTTTGTTGTTGTTTTTTTTTGAGGTACACTGTAACTGCAGATATCCTAGAATAAATTGTATATCTAACAACCTACTTTGATGTCGTGTCAGGGCAGAATTTTCTCTCAATATTTTTTTCTTTTGTTTCAAACAAGGCACCAACCCCTCCCCCAGAAATTGAGGAGGACACAACAACAGTAACAGGTGAAGACAGGGGGGTGCCGACTATCCGCCAGCCTTCCCCTGCTGCCTTAGCAGTCATTCAAGAATACTTGGATCGCAAGAGGATGCGTCTCTTAGATCTGTTCTCTCAAGCAGACAAGGACAAAAACTGGGTGGTATCACGGCAAGAGTTCAGAAACATCATTCGATCATGGCGAATTCCACTGAAGGAGGTTGATCTGGAGGATTTGATTCTTGCCCTTGACAGAGATAACAGTGATGCCTTGGATTACAGGGAGCTGGCTGTGGGGAGACAGTCATACTTAGAGGAGAGGTGAGGATGATGGCCCCTCCCCCCAGGGGATGGCAGATGATTGATGCATAACAACATAATTGAAATTCAGAATTCAAATTTAGATTCACACTTGTGTACAACGTAGTTTTAACCTCAGCAAAAATCTTGAATCAAGTGGAATCAAGCATCCTTTTTCGTTGTATGCTGCTATATCGTGTATAAAATCCATTCATAAGGATTTTCAAAGATTGAGGGTTTATTAATGATGTTTTCTAAGACTTTGGCAAGATGTTTGTGAGACCTACTGACTTACACACAGTCATACATGTAGTTTTACATAACTTGTATCTGGTGTATGATTTTCTTAAGCTGGGGCGCAGCCAGGATTTTTTGAAGAGGGGGTCACACTGTGTTAAAGTGAGGGCACTCACCAGATTGTCATGGCGTTTTTGCCAGCTGTTGTTGGTTGTCACGGGCAGCCCGGGACCCCCCCTAGCTATGCCCTTGTTCTTAAGATCCTTTAATAAACTGTTGATTCTTAAATATCCTGTAAGTTTTTCACCAAGGAAATACTGGTACATGTATATCCTTAATCAGTATAAAGGGCAACATGTATGTTTCTTATTTTGGAGATTTCAATCTCAATAATAAACAAAATGCATTGCAGAAAAATTTATTATGTCTTGATCAAGTCATGTTTATATATAGTGACCAATGTGCATGTGTCTTTTTCAAGGGTCACCAAACAAGCGGCTGAGATTGTCCATACTCCCAGTGTTAAAGCTGCAAAAAGACCGGAAACCATTCCAGAGGAGCCAGAACCTGTTTCTGATCCATTACAGGACAAGTGGCCCAGTACTGGGGCACAGAGGCCTGCATCCCCTCAGAGACCCTCCTCACCACAGGCCACCACCCAAAGGAGGCCCTCAACATCACCTCAACGTCCTTATTCTCCTTCTTCAGCCCAGGCTCAGCCTGTGACCTTTGTTGGGCAGCGACCAGGCTCTGAGCCCCAACAGCAACATCCTCGTCCTGCATCACCAGTTAGCAATGGTAGTAGCGAGAGCAATATGTCACCAACCCTGCTGGAAATACCTGCTGTTCAGTTGTCGGAGAAAGTTGAGCAACTGACGCAAGATGAGGTAGGCTTTATGGCTGCTTTCCATTTTCGTCCCCAGAGGCGGGGTTCCTTTTGGTCAGCACCTAGAATCACGACCTTTGGGCTGGTCCAACACCGGAAGTCGGTGATTCACGGACTTCCCGTCAAATCTGGCAAATCTGATTGGCTTAGAATACGAAATGAACACTGCGCATGCTTAGAAAAGCGGTCCGGCCAGAGGTCGAGATATCTTTGTGCTGGCCAGCGCGGCCTTTGGGGACGAGAATGGTTGGTTTCCATAAGCATAAGCTGACACACGCAAGATGTTGATAACTAGCGCCTTTTGTTTGGGAAATTTCCAGCAAAAGGCGCTAATTGTCAGCATCTTGTTGCGTCTGCGTATGTCAGCTTACGCTTACATGTATGCTCTGGAAAGCAGTCGTTAAGTTTGTCAATCTGGCCAGCACCCACCTGCATGTTTTTGTCAGCAAGAGGCAATTTGTTTCTAGATGTCATACATCTTAGCTGTTACATTACAACAACAACAAAGTCAATGCGCGCTTGACTGGAAATGTTTTCCTTGATCCAACAGGAGATTGATAATAAACATCTTATTAATCTCGTTCTCTTGGCCATACTGTAAGATAAACACGTATGTGTTTTCCGGCCGATTTCTTGACCAACCTGATTCACGCTTGGGTCATAAATCGATAGGGCCTCGTCCTCATCCGTGGCCTCAGGAGGAAAGGCAACTATTTTTGGCCTTCAAGGTATCTTTTAGGGTTGCACTCGAAGAGATCATTCAATAAATTAACAAAATAAAAACAAAATAAAAACAAAAAAAAGAATATGTGTGTCCGTTGCAAAGTGATATCTATTAGGGGAGGAAAACGCCTGAGCCACGCTCAGACTGGTCTCTTTTAGAGGCTTCATTCACATTTTCCTACAAGCATCCCCACCCTTTTTAAAGGGAGTTCCCCTCTGGGGTACGCGTGCAAACGTACCCTACACTACCGGCCTCAAACCATATGAATGGTTGGGAGCTAGTCCATGCCATTTACACGGAGTACCTTTTGAATT